GATGTGAATTGTGGAATCTATTCTTTACATCGGTGGAACCTTTGATTAAAGGTTTTAAACAGGAGGGCTCCAGTAGTGAGAAACCAAGTTCCTTGTTTTCATGCTTCTTGGCTATGAGTAGAAGCCATGAACTTGTTACATTGCTGCATAGGGAAAAGAATCTTGTTCCTGATATATTCTCAATTCTAACAGTCTCAACAGCTTCTGAAGCTATTAAATGTTATGTCCTGAAGTTCATTGAGAACTTGCTGAATCTTGATAAAGAGTTGGATGATGATGACACTGCTGTCAAGAGTATTCTACTTCCAAATCTTGAAGCGCTAATCTGCAGCTTGCATTGTCTTTTTCAGCATGATAACGCTTCTAAGAGGTATGGATGGTTGTTTATTGAATTGAAATCATTGAATATTTCCTCAACCTCTAATGGAAGTTGTCAACAAGTACTAAGATCCTGACTTTGGATGTGAGTTCAAATAGTGAAAAATTTTAACAGTATTGTTTTGTTTCTTAGGACGTTTGGATGTTTCAAGTCTCAGGATGTCAGCTTGTAACTTAGAGCTATTTTCTTGATTCCTTTGAGTGGTCCTACCGAGCTTCTGGATAACAGTGAGGAGGCTGAAATACAGAAATTGGTCCTTGGGACTTGAGTTCCTTCTAATGTGGAAAGAGAATTTCTTAGTCCCGTATGATCAGCATCTGAAAAATTTGATCAGTTTAAAAGCTTTGAGAGAAGAAATTACAACATAAGAGTTAGGAATTGAGACACAACATACTACTCTCATTTGACCCAAAAAGAACAACATAATAACAAAGACACACAAGAAACATGTCTGCATGTGCATACCTTTCTAGTTCTAGTGGATGACATGTATACTCATTCATATTACGGTTACTTATGTATGGTCCAATGATGTTTGCTTGTCTTAACATTGGTAATAGTTAAAATTTTTTCACGTCTAATCAGGAAATCACATAAATATCTGGGAGGGAATGAGGTCAGAATTTTCAAATTGTTATCCAAATACATAAAGGATCCATTGCAAGCAAGGACATTTATAGATATCTTGTTACCCTTCTTAGCTAAAAGGGTTGAAGATTCTGGTAAGTATATCCTGAAATGTTTAGTTCTGATACTCTCATATTTTTTCATTTGTTTGATTGTCTGTTATTGTCTCCGTAGATGCATGTCCACAAGCTTTGGAAGTGATTCAGGATATGATACCAACATTAGGAATTGAGAGTACTGCAAAAATTCTAAATGCGGTTTCTCCTCTTCTCGTTACTGTTTCACCCGATGTGCGGTTTTGCATTTGTGATCTTCTTGACACTCTTGCTAAAGTTGACTCTTCTGTCCTCTCTGTGGTAAGATTTCCTTGTTCATTAGTGTCTTGCTTCTGGATTCTTTCCATAAAAAAATGTCTTGCTTCTGGATTATGTATTTGATTTCTGATTTTCATAGTTGTCATAATTTTCTTATGATTGACTATTCATATGCAGGCAAAACTTATCCGAGAGCTGAATTCAACCTCTAAGATGGAAGTGGATGGCCTTGATGATGATGCCATAATTAATACGTATGAAAGAATTGATGTTCAATTTTTCATTACAATTGGAGAGGAACATACCTCGGTCATCTTGTCACAGTGCGTATTTGATATGTCATCTGAGGAATTAGTCTTAAGGCAGAGTGCATATAGCATAGTTCTCTCATTTATTGAATTCTGTGTCCTAATGCTTGGGCAAGAGAATGGGAGACAATATGAATCTGGGGAGATGGGGACATTTGATGGAAATCGTTGGACAAGAGCATGTATCCTGCGTTTAATAAACAAGTGTCTTTTGAAACATATTGGGGATGCAATGAGCCAAGGAAATTCTGTTAAAAAGGTATCGGAATTCTAATAGTCTCATGTCCTCATCTGTGGTTACCACAAGCAGTTTGTTATAGTATATAACTATTTATTACAATTAATCATTATGGTTGCAGGAATGGATTGATATACTTCGAGATATGGTGTTGAAACTTCCAGATGATGCCAATTTTAGTTCATTTAAAGCTCTATGCTCTGACGATGCTGAAATCGATTTTTTCTACAACATTGTTCACTTACAGGTCATCTTTTCTTCTCATACTGCCACATAAATTTATGTTAATGTCTTTTCATGAATCATTGATGAAGACTTCAGTTCACTCTGCTTGATGAAATAGTTTTTTTTTTAATAATGTTTTCTCATGTGATTTTTTTTCTTATCACCAGACAGTTTTTTTGTTGGTTTGCCCACAATTAATTAAGTTTATCCCCAACTAGTTTGTGCTGTTTTGGATTTTAGAAGTATTTATACTGATAATTTCACAATACTCTTTCAGAAGCATCGAAGAGCAAGGGCACTCTTGCGCTTTAAAAACATCATCAGTAAAACCAAGCTGCCTGAGGTGATTATCTTGTGTGCTCATTTATTTTTGTCAAAATCTATTTTTTGTTGCCTGAAACTTGCTTTCATTTAACTTGCAGGGCATTGTGAAAAACGTATTTGCTCCACTCTTTTTCAGTATGCTGCTTGACTTAAAAGATGGGAAGGATGAACATGTTAGAGCTGCTTGCATGGAAGCCCTTGCTTCTGTTTGTGTTCATATGGAATGGAAGTCTTACTATGCACTATTGAGCCGATGTTTTCGTGAGATGAGGAAAAACGCTAACAAGCAAAAGGTTCTAGTGCGGCTAGTTTGTGCTGTTTTGGATCAATTCCATTTTTCACAACCAGTTTCCAGTCAAGCGGGTGAAGAATTTTTGGTTGGTGTCAGTGCTGATAACATGAATGAGATAAGGTCTTGTCTTCATAAAACTTTGCTTCCCAAGATCCAAAAGTTAATGACTTCTGATACCGATAGCATTAATGTTAATATCAGCCTTGCTGCAGTGAAAATATTAAAGTTGCTTCCAGGTAATATAATGGACACGCAGCTTCCTACTGTCACTAATAAAATTTGTAATTCTCTCAAGAGCCGATCAGAAAACATTCGTGATGAAGCAAGGACGGCTTTGGCTGCTTGTTTGAAGGAGCTTGGGCTGGAATACTTGCAATATGTAGTTAAAGTTTTACGTGCTACCCTGAAGCGAGGATATGAACTGCATGTATTGGGTTACACACTTTATTTTATTTTATCAAAATACCTTATGAATCACAGTGGTGGGTCTTTAGATTATTGTTTGGAAGATCTCATCTCTGTAGTGGAGAATGACATTCTTGGAGAGGTTGCTGAGGAGAAAGAGGTGGAAAAGATTGCATCCAAAATGAAAGAAACCAAAAAATGCAAGTCCTTTGAGTCTTTGAAATTAATTGCTCAAAACATAACTTTCAAAAGTCATGCCTTGAAATTGCTTACTCCTGTTAAAGCGCATTTGCAGAAGCATCTGACTCCAAAAGTGAAAACAAAATTGGAAAGTATGCTAGATCACATTGCGGCTGGTATTGAACTCAATCCATCAGTTGAACAGACTGACCTATTCACCTTTATATACGGTCTGCTTGAAGATGGGATTAAGGAAGAAAATGTTCTGGCTGAGAATTCACTTATTTCAGGATCAGAAAAAGATCAAGCAAATAAAAAAACGATACCCAAGGCTCGAGTCATCATCACTAGATCAGTGGGTTCACATCTTATAACAGTGTTTGCGCTGGCACTACTGCACAATCGAGTAAAGAATGCTAAGTTGGATAAAAACGACATCTGGCTATTATCAATGTTGGATCCTTTCATCAAACCGCTTGGCAACTGCTTGAGTTCACAATATGAGAATATTTTATCCTTATCCCTAAGATGCCTCTCTCTGTTGGTGAGGTTGCCTCTGCCATCCCTTGCATCCCTGGGTGATAAAATAAAAGTAACACTGTTGGATATTGCTCAGAGTTCAATCAATTCCAGCAGTCCCCTGATGCAGTCGTGCCTAAAGTTGTTAACTGTGCTTCTCCAGAGTACTAAAATCACCCTGTCATCAGATCAACTACACCTGTTGATTCAGTTTCCAATATTCGATGATCTTGAAAAGAATACTTCCTTTGTTGCTCTTTCGCTTTTAAAAGCAATTGTTAAGCGCAAACTAGTTGTTCATGAGATATATGATCTTATGACTCGAGTTGCGGAATTGATGGTAACTAGTCAAGTGGAATCAATTCGAAAGAAATGTAGTCAGATTCTATTGCAATTTTTGTTGGATTATCGTCTATCGAGAAAACGTTTAGAAGAACATTTAAGTACTCTTCTTGCAAATCTAAGGCATGTATATCATACAACTTTGAACAACTCATTGCTTTTTGTTTGTCAAATGCTGACTATCTTGTTCTTGCAGGTATGAGCATTCCAGTGGAAGAGAAACAGTTCTTGAGATGCTCTGTGCAATTGTTATGAAATTTCCTAAGAGTATCATTGATGAACACTCTCTTACATTTTTCATCCATTTGGTTTTTTGCTTGGTCAATGATCGAGATACTAAAGTCCGATCCATGATTGGTGCTACTATAAAACTTCTTACTGGACGCATCAGCTCACATTCATTGAATTCCATCCTTGATTATGTATTACCACTATATTCATTTGAACAACACAAAGAGAAACCACAATTATGTGGAGCTGCAGCCCAGGTAAGGCGTTATAAAAACTCTTCTTTTTATGCAAGCTACAAGAAATCTGACTTGCATAACTATGGCTTCAGAATTGAACTAACGGGAAATTTAGTGTTGAAACATTGATGAAATTGGAGAAATCATAAAAGGAAAGAAAAAGGAGTAAGTAAAAAGTAACATTTTCAAACATGAAAATTATTCTTTGTTTGGACGTTAATGTCTTATAGTAGAGATTACCAATGTGTTAATTATTATTTAACCAAATATAGATGTTAAAGTGTGGATTACATGAGAAACAAAAATAATGATCTTATATTAAATTGGATGGAATATGGATTCAGATGTTTATTCCCCTTAATGCTGCTTTCTTCATTGCGGTGAGTTCCTACTTTTCTGCCTCTCCCTTTGGTGGCTCATGATTCTCTTTCACAGGTATTAGGGTTGCTGATTGAGGTCATGAGGGGAAACTTTCAAAGGCATGTTGATCCAATATTGGTAGTGGTTGGATGGATCTTGCACTCTGCTGTGGATGTTGGTCTTCATCAGGAACAAGATTGTTCTGATGAAGTTACTCTCCCTTTCTGGAATGATGCATATTATTCACTGGTTATGCTGGAGAAGTTGCTGTATCAGTTCCGTGATCTTTGCTTCAAAAGGGAATTAGAGGTACAAATTTGTTGCTGTTGCAAAATGCATGGATATTATTTGAAAGATGGAGTAGAATTTACCATGATTTGGTTGTGATAAATAAGTGGATATGTTACCAATAACATCAATGCATTAATAAGATTGTCCTACCAGATACAAAATCCAATAAGGTAGGACTTCTGAACTACTGAGTTTTTTATAGAATACTCACTTAAACTCCATTGGTCATCAACCATTACTTCAAAGTTGCTCATATATATATATATATATATATTAAAGAATCCGACTTCTGAGTCCCATAGCCATTTGTAAGGTTAAATTACAACGTGCTTATTTGTTTGATGTATTTTATTAAGTCTGAGTTCCGTAGCCATTTGTTTCTTCAGCATGATGTTTCTTTGGGCTTTGGACTTGTCTCTTTGATATATTTAGTGTTAATTAGTTAGATTTGCCCCCTCCAGTGATGTTTTCATCTCCTCTGCATGGGCTTGGTAGGAATAAGCAGCAGATAATGTTATGGAGGGGGGGTATTCTTCTGATTTGTGCAGTTTTTGGCTGGAGCAGATGCCAAAGTCTTTAAGGACCAGTTTCAATCTCCCCCTTTGCTTTGGAATGGATTGGCGTTTTTCACTTCTTTTTCGGCTAGGGCTGATGGTCTGTTTGTTTCTTGTTGAACCTATGCTTTATTGAACAACCATTATGTTGTTGGACATTCTCTAATCCTCCTACTATATGCTTTCTTTTCCCTCTATAGAGATATTTCTTCTTTAAAAGCCTAATTTGAGGTGAAAAGAAGAAAAGGGCAATTTAGTTTGGTATCTTTTTCCAACAGATCTTTAGCAATAGAGGGATGTAGATTTTAGGTTTGTTGAGGTATCTCTGTCCAAGAGCTCCTGGATTAAGAATGTAACTATACAACTTTTGGTCTTAAATAGAACATCTAGGTAGAAAATTATATTTTGGTTGATCTTTTAAGCTTTTTTCTTTTTTCTAAAGACTTTGTGCATCTGTAAATCTGAGTGTATATGGAAATCTTGACCATTTTGTAATTTTTTGTATACCTTGTACACAAATGGCAACCCTTAGTGCCTGTTTAATTTCATTTTCTCTTTGGCTATTACAGGAAAACAAATGTCGAGTAATTTAGCATGCCTTTTTCATGGTTGTTCATTATGACTTAATTTACTTCTAGTGTAAAGTGTCAATTTAGGACTGAACAAAGGTTGTCTTGAGGCCAAGAGTCGCAATCCTCTAGAATTGTCACATGCTCATTATTTTACTAGGAAAACTGGAATTTCTTAAATACTTTAAACATGGGTGGTCAAACATTCGGATGATATTTGACACTTGCATTTTTTTACTCAGCGTATTGTTGTCTTTTTCTTTTCTTTTTGTCTGTTGAAGTTGCTGAACTTATTGCTAGGATGTAGTACTGTGAATTTGTGCAAGATGCCACTGAGACATGCGTGGTGTTTACTTTTGGGCAAAATGTTTGATTTGGGTTGAGGACCTTGCTTAATTTCCAGCTTTGATGTCTGATGGTGTTTTTCATTTTCGGTTAAGAAAATAGCATGGAGAAAACAAAAGAAGAAGCTACATTTCTTTCGTTATCTCAGCTCTTTGCTGATTCATTTTGTTAATTTTCAGGGTATATGGGAAGAAATCTCCAAGTTGCTGTTGCATCCACATTTATGGCTGTGCAACAGATCAAATCGCTTGCTAGCCTTGTATTTCACCACTGTAACAGAGGTTATCAGAGAAAATGCTGAAAATTCATTTGGAACTTTTGTTCTCCTGAAGCCAGCTAAAATCTTTATGATAGTCATTTCTCTCTGCTGCCAGCTGAAGGCCCAGGTCACAGATGATGATGTTGTGAACAACCTCCTTACACAAAATATTGCTTTTGCAATTTCTAGTCTGCCGTCTTCAATGCAACAGAATGGGTCTGTTGAACCTCACAAGCTTTGGTCTGCTCTTGAACAGCATGAGCAAGCCCAATTGCTTAAAGCCTTTCAATCACTTGATCCTGGAAAAGGAAGAGGGATATTTTTAGCACTTATCTCTGGTATGTATGGCCAGAATGATAATGAACAGTTTAAGGATCCACAGAATTTCCTCATCTCTTATCTGCTCAAGAGAATGGGAAAGCTGTCTCTCGAAATGGGTGCCATTCAGGTTGGTCTTTAGGAGACTGCATTTGAATGGTTTAAGTTTGTTGGAGATGTTTATCAAATTTAATCTTTTATTATTTCTGGTCTTACCTAGAGTCCTCTTAGAGAATTAACTTGGTGGATGCAGATGAAAATTGTTTTCAATATTTTTAAAACCTTATCATTGCAACTCAGTCCGGACAATTGCCACATCTATGCATTTCAAATGCTGCTACCTGTATACAAAGTCTCTGAAGGATTTGCTGGGAAAGTTGTCTCTGGTATGTTTCTTTTTCTTTCCATCTTTGGTTCTTCTCTGTTCACTACACTAATATGAACTTCTGAGTGTGGATAATTCTTCTACCGTTAGGAGGCTTTTTTTGAAGGTGAACGGAAGTAGGGACAACTCTAAATATTAGCACATCTATGCGTTGAGAAGGCATCATGAAGTGACAGAACATAGTACATAATGATTTAGAAAAATACTCGCAACAAAATAGTCATTTACTTGAAAATCAAATTGCAGAGGTGCCCTAGCTGTTAGCATTTCCTGTTAATGACTGTTGAAAAAAGGACACCAAGTAAGCACGTGCTAGAAAAGATATCCGTGTCAGCTTAAAAAAATTGGATAATATTCATTGTCATCTTCATTTAACTTCCATGAAGAGTGAGAGAGATGGCAACCTGACAAAAGAAGTGTTCTTTCCATTCTTTAACCGAGGAATAAGATAGGAAGAAGTGAAGGGGGAGAAGAAAAAAAATCTTTCACTCAGGTGAAAAGTAGGATTTACAAAAACATAGAAGAGGACTAAATTGTGGGAGAAGACTCGCATGTGAGTTTCTGCAATCCAAGCAAAGTGTTAAAGAAGTAAACGGGAAGGAAAGAAGGATGAAAATGCATACTGAATTTGGACCAGAAATTGGTTCGAAGTAAAAAATTATTATGAATCAAGTATAGATTTGAAAAGTAAAAGACTTGTTCATTTGGATCTAACTGAAGCATCTGATCTGCCTCGATTTTTTTTTCTCCATTTATGTGTTACTCTTTTGTCTTGTGATACTGCTAGAGTTTTGGTCTATCATTATCTTTTATGGTGCTGGTATACTGGTTTTGTTATAAGCAGAATAACCATGCAGTTTTTATTTAAGAGTGATTTTTGGAATCTATGTATCTTCTAGCATTTGGTTATCTCCTTAGCACTTGCATTCTGTTTTTTCTTCTTTTTTTTGTTTGTTTGACTTCTACATATCAGACCTTCATTCTTGTTTGACAACTAATTTTATTGGGTGTATATATCTCTTAAATATGTTTACCTTTATGTGAGTAGATTCTTTTCCTCCCAAGACTTATTTTCTCGGTCTTTTCTTGTTCTATACCAATCTTGTTGAGCGTATTATCCCTTTTAATACGTTTACCTTCATCAAAGTAGATTTTTTTCCTCCAATCTAACAAGACTGTTCTTCTCAGTTTTTTTTTAATCTAATAATAAAAATCTTATGTTAAGAAAAACATCCACATTCTTAGGAAAGTTCGAGATGTGACATATCTCAATTCTGGGAAGCTCGTATTAAAAATTTGTATTCCCGGTCCTTCGCTTACATTGCTAACAACTAAAAGGGACATGAGGAAAACACTTGAGTTTGATTCTTTTCCAATTTACTTCATAATCAATTTCCATTTTTAATTTTTAGATTGATCTTGACATGCATAATTAGAATATAATTTGTGGTATTTGAGTTAGAGCGTAAGTTTCCATATTCAAGGAATTTCAAGGCAGGGGTGATTGGAACTCAAATATAACAAATTTATGTTTTAATTCTGTATGTTGACAGGAGAATTAAAACTAGGGGGAATGATCAGAAATGCAATGAAAATGTACCAAAGATAGCATTATGTTTGAAGAGAACATTGCGGCAAATAAGCAGTTGATAATCTCCATGTATCCAGCTTTAAGCTTGAAGGGGGTGGATAACATGCTTAAGTTTTGTTGGGAAGATAATGGGATTACTACCTGAATAAAATCACAGTATTGGGGCATTGAATTTGGGTGGTTAGTTGGAGGATGATTACGGAAGACAGGATTTGAATACCACTAGACTGAAATAGGAATTGTTTGGTAGCTGTCCCTGTTTGAAAGTATGGTCAGTTGCACAAGTTCATTTCCTAAGTTGTCTTGTTCCTTATATCATATATATGTATTTGAGAGGTGAACAACCATATGTATGCATTTTTACTGTTTCTAGACATGCCTAGGTTTGTGCAGCAATTTTTCACTTGATTGAATGGTAGTTTGTTAATTGCAATTAATGAGCTACAATGAGGTTTGAGTTGCTTATCGTCTGGGTTACCAGTTTCCTTTCTGCTAAATCAATAGAAGGGTAGGCCATCAACACCGAAGTGTGACTACATAGCATTACAGAACTAGATTCTTTCCTCTTTGACTTCTTTATTCCACCTTTTTTTTTTCAGTTGCAGAACCTCACATGAGAGAGCTTTCCTCTGTTTCTTCTCTTATTTTGTAAATTCTCTCTTTACACTTTAGGTGGTACTCTTTTCTTCTTCCTCTCCACTTTTCTTTTCCTTCCTTTTCCTTCTCAATTCTTCTTGGTTAAAGAATAGAGAGAGAGCAAGCTGCCATTTCTCTCTATTTTTTTTTAAGAAACTCTCTTTTAATTTCTCTCTTCTTAATTATTAGATGGTGGTGATAATGTCATATTACCATTTTATGCTGACGTGGATGTTTTCTTTTTTCACCAATTGCTTTTTCACTTTTGTATCAGTCACTAACCAAAAAATGAACAGAGACACTTCTATAATTTTTTACACACTTAGGATATTTTCTTTTTTTGGGGAAAATAGTGTTCTGTAGTTACGATTTTTTCTTTTTTTTTTTCCAAAGATTACCTTGGGTAGAATTTGGAAATATTGCTTCTCTCATTCAGTGTCGTTAGATTTAGAACTTCTTTGATTGTGAAACTTGTGGCTACCCAGAGAAATTTGTTCTTGTTGATCCATAGACTTGATGAGCTTTTTACCATCTTTTCTTTAATTACTAAAGCATTTTAACTAGAATGTTACTGGGTGATTTTGTCTACTAGATGATTTGAAACAATTAGCACAAGAAGTTCGTGAAAGCATACGAAACACATTAGGTATCCAGACTTTTGTTCAGATTTATCAAGAGATCAGGAAAAGCCTGAAGGCGAAGAGAGACAAGAGGAAACACGAGGAGAAGGTCATGGCAGTTGTTAACCCGATGCGGAATGCGAAGAGGAAGCTTAGGATTGCGGCAAAACATTGTGCAAACAAGAAAAGGAAGATAATGACGATGAAAATGGCTAGGTGGATGCATTAAGGAGAGAATGCAAGTATTCCAAGGGATGCAGCCGCCTGGAGGTAGTACCCGTCCCAGCTTTTGATGACCAAGTATTTCCTTAATTTAAATTGGTCGATCTCCATTTCAGTCATTATTTTTATAACATTCAATTTCAAATATCTTCTTTTTCTTTTTTTTTTTTTAAATGCTATGGACCTTTTTCATTAGTGTCAAACGTATACTTGCAGGCTACACTAGGGATGATTGACGAGAATTAATATGTTATAGCATCTAGTTCGTCCCATTCTTAAGATTTGAAAGAGCATTCATAAGGCTCCTGATGGAGGGAGCAGGTGTATGTATAGTTGTCTAGAGAATGGTGTATGTATTTGCGGTCTATGTACAATGACTCTCTCATTTTGTTTTTTTTTAGAAGAATGGTATTCATTTTTTGAATATGAGAAAGGAAGAGAAGTACAAAAGCAAGAGATGGATGTAGGAATCAACAGTAGAGACAAAAAGGTAAGATAGAAACTAGGTATTGGCTTTGGCAGCCTCGGCCTCAGAATCAATTCATCTTGATAGTCAGCGTTTGATTTTGACTTGATTGTAAATTATAGTTTGCCAGTTGTTTACTGGACCATCAATTTTTGTAATTAACCTGAGTATAATGTAATTATCTGCTTACTAATGGTTTTTATTTATTTATTGAGATTTGCATGTAAAAGAAAATTGTCACAAGAATGATTCTCGCCTTACAAGTTTTCTTTTGCATGTTACTCAGAAACTTGAAAAAAAATTTATCAGGAAGGTCTCATATGGTTGAAGGGAATGATGCCATTTTGAATTTGTGGGTTGCATTTATATATATATATATATATATAAGATGAACTTAAAGATTTTTCCTTTTAAAAAAAGATTTGAACTTGAGGATGCCTAAAGTATCAAAACCCAAATTAGGATAATGATTTTGAGACTTACTAATGCAAACAAACTTATATTGCATATATGTTTACATGTATGCTGCATAGATGTGTATCCTTATCCTAAAGTTCTGGGATTTTACGATTGTAATTCTGGAATTATAATCTTTACTTCTTCATTTACATTTTCTGTCAACAAATTAATTTTTTTTTGGGTTGCATTTAAATTCATTAGCGATCTCTGGGTCATTGATTCCTTTAAATTTGGTGAAATTTTAACTGATTTATTATCCAAAATTTTGGGCATTTCCGGAACTTTTATTATAATGATTTAAGTGCAATGTTTATGCTCAAATCACGTGCAGGAAGAAAGAAGGAAAAGATCTTGATCCTACTCGATGGAATAAAATATGAGTACAATACTCAAAAGAGTAGAGCTTGCTGATAAACAATTGTCAACTTGAATATATATTTGTACGAGACTCTTGCAAATTTCGTAGCTTTAACATCAACGATCTGTCGGATCAAAACTTGGTTTGTAAAAAAAATATTTGTGGAGTCACTTTCGAGATTAAATTTATAGTCGAAAAAGTCAAAATTTTGTATTGCAAACAATCGTAGACTTCTTCAATTTATTCACTTCCAATATTTTTTCTTTTAAACATGAAATACAATGTCCAAAAGACTGTATCATACTCTTCCGTAAATAAGTTATTTTAAACATAATTTTTTAACTAATGTATATTTTAATATTATATATTATAAGTTGTATACTTTATTTTTATATCATTTTTAACACAAAAGGTAATCATAATGCATCAAAAACTACAAAAATAAATAATTAGTATTAGATCATTTAAGATATGTTGGTGGTAACAATTCTTTTTTTTTTTTTTTTTTTTTTAAACAAAAGGAAAACACACTGTATGTAATAACCGTACAGTAAGAAAAAAGAACATCGAAACCTAATAGATAGCAGATAAGAGGGAGAGAGAGCAGAACTCCTCTCCTCCTCCCCCCTTCCCCCCCTCCAGTCTTCTGCGTATCGCACCATCAACCCGATAGCCTCTCTCCTTCCGACATAAAAATCCAAAACCCAAATCTCGTCTCCAGATCTTCCCTTCAATTGCCACATTTGTGTTTACCTTTTTGGGTCCAGACAGTAACCTGATTTCAAAATCGATGGAGGCTTTGGCTGATTGATTCCGTTTGATTTCCCTTTTGGAAAGTTTTAGGGCTTTGCAGCTTGAGGAGTTGGTATAGATAAATAAATAGTTTACAAGATAAAAGGAAGTGATTAGGGTTTAATGGCCGATCGGAACTCTACCGCTCCCAAGCCTGTCTGGGTGAAGCAAGCTGAAGAGGCTAAGCTGAAGAGCGAGGCCGAGAAAGCTGCTGCGGCAAAAGCCGCTTTCGAGGCAACATTCAAGGATCTCGAAAAGAACCGTGAGAAAGCTGTGGTTGAAGAATCAGATAGTGAGTCAGAGGAAGAAGCCGAGGACTTGGCCAACAAGCCTATTGGTCCGGTGGACCCAGCGAAGTGTACTGCTGCCGGCGCCGGGATTGCGGGAGGCACGGCCTGTGCACCCTCCACGTTTATGGTGGTGACCAAGGATGCGGATGGGAGGAAGGTTCTCAGTGGGGGCGCTCAGATTAAGGTAAAGGTGTCGCCTGGAGTGGGTGTCGGCGGATCCGAGCAAGAAGGGATGGTGAAGGATATGGGTGATGGAACTTACACCGTCACGTATATAGTACCCAAAAGAGGGAACTACATGGTGAATATTGAGTGCAACGGGAAACCCATCATGGGTAGCCCATTTCCTGTCTTCTTCAGCCAAGGTGCATTTTTTTAAACCACTTCTATCTTTTCTTTTGGTGAGAAATAGACCAATTTTATCTGGTGTTTCTTTTGTGAGTATTGTGGAATTTTATAAACTTTTTTTCTGACAGTCCAACGAATAGATGATTGTTTTAAATATAAAATCATCCCTATTTAGCGAGGAGTATAATTAAATGTGTTATTTCATGTATTTTTTTCCAAGTCAAACAATAGGATATTTAGAGGAAACCAGAGCCTGTTTGGCTTAGTTTTGGAGAGAGAGCTCATACGAGCTTATTTATTTGATAAGGTTCTAAACTATTAACATGCGTGCAAGTTTTTAGGTTGATTAGAAGAAGTTTATGATGTTAATTGCATCAAAATAACCAAAAAAAAAAATGCGATAAAAATTTGCTGACTAACAGTAGCAAAGATATGTTTTGTGGGAAAAAAAAAAAAAGAGAGAACATCCAAAGAAAAATTTGCGATTACGGAGATGTTACATTCATAGTTCAAACAATGAAAAGAATCATCATCTCCCACAAATAAAGACCACAAAAGCCATCTAACTAGAAAGGTCCCAACCTGAATTGAAAGCTAGATAATCAAGATTCAAAGACGAAGCCGTTTAGCTGGCAATAGAAGTGGAGAGGAAATGGGGAAGAGGGGGAGGATGGATAGATGAAGCAGTGGGAATTGTAAATTTGGACAAAGAAGATTTTGGTGCAGGTAACTAGGGATTTATGAGTGGGAATTTTGTAGTTTATTGAAGGGTAATATTATTTTTAAGTTGGTCGATGCTGACTTATTTTGGGGACGTTGTCTTTGAAAAGAAAATAACCACTACCAGTACAAATAAACAGATGGAAGAGCATATAAGTTACCTAGATCTTTAGCTCATGCAGAACAGGCAAACACGTAAAAGAGCTGTTGAAAGGCTTATAAAAGGTTTTAAAAAAACACTAAGCAAAATGGTGTTGAGTAAGTATGAAAGCTTTTTTTCTCCTGTTTGCTGAATATTTTCATCCTCTTAGTTTTCAACTATCAGTCCCCTATAAAAATGGCCTTTATTACTCTATTCTGCTACATATTGGAATTTTTGTCTTGACTTAATTAGTATATATGTTTTCTCCTCCATGGTGATTCAGATGCTTTATCCCTAATGTCTTATATTCCAGGTACTTCTGCTGGAGGGCTGCTTGGTCTGGCACCTACGTCAACATATCCAAATCTAGTAAACCAAACAATGCCTAACATGCCAAATTACACAGGATCTGTTTCTGGAGCATTCCCTGGTTTGTTAGGAATGATTCCCGGTGTTGTTTCTGGTGCTTCAGGTGGTGCTATTTTGCCTGGAATTGGAGCATCTCTTGGGGAAGTTTGCAGAGAATATCTTAGCGGCCGATGTGCCAAAACTGATTGCAAACTGAACCACCCGCCACATAATTTACTGATGACTGCCTTGGCTGCAACAACCAGCATGGGAACTCTCAGTCAGGTGCCGATGGCACCTTCTGCTGCAGCAATGGCTGCTGCACAGGCTATTGTTGCTGCCCAAGCCCTTCAAGCTCATGCTGCTCAGATGCAAGCACAAGCTCAGTCAACCAAAGGCTCATCTGGTATTGTTGTCTCTTGTTTATCTGATTGTTTGATGATCAAGTGTGTTACTCGTAATTATATTTTACATCTCTTATTAGCTTTTTTTTACACATATTTTGAGTACATTATTTATTTATATTGTTTTTGCTGGGTTTTTTCACCATTGTTAGAATGAAATATTTCTCTTGTTGATCAGGCTCTCCCGACAAAAGTGGAAAGAGTGATGCACTTAAGAAAACACTTCAAGTTAGCAATCTTAGTCCACTTCTTACAGTGGAACAACTGAAACAACTTTTTAGTTTTTGTGGCACGGTTGTCGAATGCACCATCACTGATTCAAAGCATTTTGCATATATAGAATATTCAAAACCTGAAGAGGCAACTGCTGCTCTGGCATTGAACAATATGGATGTTTGTGGCCGGCCATTGAATGTTGAGATGGCGAAATCACTTCCTCAAAAGCCATCTCTTTTAAATTCATCTCTGTCCTCATCTTCTCTACCCATGATGATGCAACAAGCTGTTGCAATGCAGCAAATGCAGTTCCAACAGGCTTTGCTCATGCAACAAACCATGACTGCTCAGCAGGCAGCTAATAGAGCTGCAACAATGAAGTCTGCAACTGAGTTAGCTGCAGCGAGGGCTGCAGAGATAAGTAAGAAATTGAAAGCTGATGGACTTGTGGATGAAGAGAGTGAACCAAAACAGAAATCCAGGTAGATTATCTCCTTTTCCTTTCTGTCTTAACTTTGTTATTTATCTTTTCTATTGTGAGACTTAAAAGTCTTCAAGCTATTAATAGACAAATCTACCTTGTTTAATTATCAATACTGCTATAATTCATGTACATGTACAAAATTTATATTTACTCAAAAGATGAATGAGTCCATAAAGAGTAGGTTATAATCATTTGCACTAGATTTTAAACAATCTATCTTTTTAGTGAGCCTTTGACAGAAGTGAAACAGCAAAAATAGTTAAAAGTATGTCTATAATATTTGAAGATATTCAAATAGGCACCAAACATTTTTTACACTCAAATACACCCTGAACTAGTGAATTATGATTTGATAAGCCATTTGTTGGATGTAAAAGCTAACAGCACGTTACCACTTCAAATGTCCATTTATCTAATGCCATGGCATTAAACACACCCATATCAAATGGCCACTTTCTGTCCATCGAGAGGCTTATTCAAACAAAATTTAGTAGTAGGCTTGATTAAAAATAAAATTTGTGCAATGACTTGGCTGAATATTTTTAAATACTACAAGAATCTGTTACTTTTTCTGATCTAGGTGAAACAATCATTTTAAAGCACAAGATATATTAATAATTAAATTTTTGTTTTGCAAATGGGTTAGCCTGAATCTTCTCTGCACTATCCATAACTGTCTATATCAATGCATGTATCTATCTAAGATACTGCATTAAATCTAACGATTATGTTTTGCCAACGGATTAGTCCATGTCTTGTATATATTATGCAGCATGTTGTAAAATTTATTTTTTAGCTGCCACAGATGGTTTCTACCTTTTTCCTTCCTCTGTTCTTGAAAAAAAAATTCCTTCCTCTCTCAGCTTGTAATGGTTCCTTGTCTATTTGATGTCAGGTACTATATGGTGTTCCTATATACTAGCCTTCCTGGCTGATGTGTTCATGTGCATACATTGCATCTGATGAATATATATATATACAGCTTAGAACACCTGATTATTCACCTAGCAGAAAGAATAATATATTTCTGAAAGCTTCATAAAACCTTGGTTAACTAATAAATTAAGAGTATGACTGATACCTTGCCCTCATATGCAGATCTCCATCCCCATCTTGTGCAAGGTCAAGATCCAAGTCAAGATCACCAATCAGTTATCAGCGAAGGCGAAGATCTCGCTCTTATTCACCGTCATCCCGTCATTCTAGAGATCGTAGAGCAAGGTCACCTTTGAGATATCATCGATCAAGGTATGACAGTGAACGACGGTCATACAGAGATAATAGGGATGGTGGTGAAAGTAGGAGATGGGATTCGGGTAGATCCCATGATCATCATTCATCTATTTCTAGGAGACACAGGAGTATTAGCCCTGTAACAAGAATATCATATAGAGATGATTCAGACTCGCCTAGACGTCGCCGACAAAGATCACCTCATGGAACAAGGAGATCATCCAGGACTGGGTCAAGATCACCAAAGCGCCAGAGAGGAAATAGGTCATCCCCAAGAAAGGACGAAGATAAGAAACCAATACACAGTAAGCGCTCGAGATCAAAATCTGTTGAAGGTTCTACTGACAGAATGGATGAAACTGAAGGTGAAAAATTAGAGCATCGTAGCAGAAGACAGTCCAGGTCGTTATCAACTGATAGTAAACATCATGAAAGGAGCAGGTCATCTTCAAGTTCAGGTGAAAGAAAATCGAAACATAGAGGTAGGTCGAGATCCAAATCTGTGCAGTCCAATGAGAAAAACAATGAATCTAGAGATGACGAATTGAAACGCCATGGAAGACGGCGGTCAAGGTCAAAATCCACGGAAGATAAATGTCACGGCCGGGAGAAAAGGGATGAAAGCAGAGATAAAAAATCAAAGTATCTTGCTAGAAGGCGATCCAGGTCACTATCTGCTGAGGGTTATAACAGTAGAAACAGGTCATCACAAAGAAGTTTGGACAAAGATAAGTCAAAACACAAGAAGCGTTCCAGGTCAAGATCAAGTGAACACAAACGTCGATCGCGTGATAAAAATAGAGAAGGATCAAAACACCGTGATAGGCGGAGGTCAACATCTCCAGAAGCTAAGCCTTCCAGAGGAAGTAGATTGTCTCCAAAAAGTTCAGTAGATCGTGAATCCAAACAGTCAAGGCACTCCAGGCAAAAATCTGAAGTTGATAAGGATCATTTCGATAATGGAAAGAATAAAAGCAGGCAGGAAAAAGCAGTAAGTCATAGCCAAAAATCAGACATGCCTGAGGATCCCTTTGAGGTAACACATTTTGCTCAGAATGGTTCATTGAATATGACGAGTGAGGGCTTGCTGGTTGTGAAACAGGGGGCTCTTGACTTCAAGGAACAAGTGGAAGATATGGAAACAGGAGAGAATCAAGATTTAGCTCTCTCAGAGAGTTGTGCAAATTCTCAAGATGCAAGAGTTGTAAAAGGTCAGATATCAAACAGCAAGAAATCAGAACTTTACGTCCCAGTAATGTTGATAAATTCAAGAGAGAATTGAGTTTCAGGTGTTCTTTTGTGATTAACAGGAGCTCTGTTTTTTTTTTAATGGCTAACAGGAGACGAGTCCCTGACGTAAGAGGCTCATAAAAGAAGTTCATCTGAGACAAAATTTGATCCACTTTTTGCCAACTGCACTGACAGAAATCAAGAGAAAAGATTTAAGGGGGAGAGCTGGGCATCATGTTGGGAGATGCTGAAATTCATTAACAACCAATTTATTCTGATAGATGATGGGCTTTAGATTCTGATATTGGGAGCAGTTTCCTTTGGTGTCAGATTATTGTGCCATTTGTTGGCTCTTAATAAACATATGCCTTTTTTTCTCTTTTTAATGTTTTGCAGGTATATGTGGGACAGGTTGGAATATGTGAGCTGATATTGATATGGATGCCCACAGCGGACTATCACATGTTTGTATCCAGCTTCTTTTACTGCTAGATTATGTGTATGTTGGACTGTTACCTCTATTGGTACCTTGTGAATTTCTGGATTTAAATGTTTATTTTAAAGATTATTTTCGATTTGCATTTTCATACATCTCGGTTCTATGCATTTTAAAGATAGTTCAAATGTTTATTACTTCCTTGGTTGGTGGAACAATGAGAGTAGGGATCTGTGAAGTCGTAGGTGAAGTTTTCTGTAGGTTTTGAATGTACCCTTCACTGAATTGATACAGTATCTGATGCCTATGCTTATTTCTTTAAATTCTTATTAAAGGGGGAGAGCTCCTAGTGTCATGGTTCATAATCAGTTTCATTTTTATTTAATTTTCATGGTATGGTGGGTCTGTTATATCCCAAACGCATGCAGGTTTTCCATGGTGTTTCTCATTCAAGCTTTCTGGGACCAGCTTGGCTGGGGTTGATTTTACTATTGTGAGTGAAGGTATGCTGTCACTGCACGGTGGAGAGCTCATGCTGTATAGCCTATGTATATATATATTTCCAAATATTTTTGGTAGTGTCTATTCTGTTTGCCAATAGTAGAAATGACCACTATATCTTAAACCCTTTCCCTCACATCTTTCCCCATTTTTCCCTTTTTTTCCTTCATTTTTTTTTTTTTTTTCTTTTTTTTCTTTTTTCCTTCTTTTGCTTTCCCCCTTTCCCAAGGAATTTTCTTGATTGGACAAAGCTCCACTAAAGTTCCAGTGAAACAAGATGTTGCTGGGATGAATAGCGTGAGGCTTGCACCTTGTTGAGTATGAGGAGTTATGCTGATTCCCTTTTCTTAATTTCATGGTGAAATGCAAATATCGTGTGTTGACAGGTAATTCTCCATGGAACTGTTTGGGTTTAACTTATTTTGTCTTTATGGGTCTGGTTGTCTGTCTCCCAAGGCAAACTTGGAGTTGATTGCAAGTGATCAACATACTAGGCCGAATCTTGTTTTTGTTTTCCTTCATCTTTTTTTCTCCTCTTGCCTTGAGGGAGCCTTTTCTGCTTCCCACCCCCCACTCTTCTTTTGGTGGTGCTTGTTAGGATGAGCAAATGGCTGTGAGGGAATCAAACCTTGATCTGTAAGTTTGACAGAATGAGTACTGCAGGAACTGGGTGTAAAGGAAAACTCTTTTTTTTTTTTTTTTTTTTTTACATAATTAGTTATTATATATACGCATATAGTTTGTTTGTTGTCTTCTTCCGCCTCTACTTTGAAAGGATATATTACTAAGTATACTGAGGGGATTTGGGTGGCATTTACAAATTTTTGGGTCCCTCTAAGATGCACTGGCAAATTACACTCCATTGTTGGCCACTTGGCCTTTTTGCCTTTGAGATTACGGAGGATATGTTGATTTTAGCGATGGTTTAATTTGATTTTTTATTTTTATTTTTTCAGCACAAGAGAGATTTTATGTTAGTTAAAATTGAATACATCTTCTCTGTGTATATTATATATATATATATATATATCAAATAATTGAAAATGGGTGAATTGGATTGGAGTTTGGAGGGTTAAGACCATTTGATGAATTCGGTTTGACCTGACTGGTTAAATGAAACTCAAATTTGGAAAAAAAATGACTTTAAAATATTTTCCAACTCTTTTGTTATTTTATTAAAAAGCATATGACTACTTAGAATAATGTTGTGGTTACATCATAATTTTTCCAAGTTTCAAAATACAGTAATAATCGGTTACTACAATGCCTGCCTGATATAAATATAAAACTTCAATTTTATAATTATTATAATATTAGTAAAGTTGGTGCGAGTAAAACATATACCTCAAAACTTCAATTTTTTCCTTTAAATTAGTAAGAGACAAATCTCTTGTAGAGTTATTTCTTATTAAGAATTTTATTGAAAATAAGTTTGTGCAATTAAATCTTCTACTAATAGTTTAATTATAGAGTTAGATTAAATTTTTGTAACACTTGTGTTAGAACAAGATACAAATCATAATATATATATATACGTACACGAGCTTTGAAAGAATAGATAAATACAAAAAGAAGGGCCACCTAAATCTATTGACCCAAAAAGTCATTTAAGTTTGCAAGACCTAAAATTTGTTGGCCTAATACTATATATATACATATATAGAAAAAAGTAAGCATCTCTTTTGTATTATTATTTTTTATTTATTGAAAACGTGTATAAATTACAAAATTCATACCAAGTTTGATACGTGAGTTGATTTCTTTCTCTTCCAATCCATGATATATATATATATATATTCTAGAAAAACTCCAAAAATACATTTAATACCTATTGTGAAAGAAACATCAATTTTAATTTAGTATCTACTTCTTATTTAATATAAATTATTGTAAAGTTCAGAGTTAGATATGGTCACTAAGAATGTTTCTAAATTGTTTACGCAATCAAAAATACAAAATAAATAAATTAACGTTTATTATGATTATCATGGATATTTTAGTTCCGGGTGCTTATAGAACTAATCTATTTTACCCATAATGTGTGTATATACATATACATATATATAATTTAGACATGTTTAAATGCGTTAAAAATAATAATTAATAAAAATAATTTTAACTAATTAATTAAATTAATACAGATATAAAAAAATATGCCTAATAATATTATTAATTTATTAATAAATACCAAATATTAGGAACTAATTTCGTAGTTTATCTAAATTCCATTGAAATTAATAAATAAATAATTATCTTAATAATTATGCTTAAAATCTAAAGTTTCAAGATTTGTTTGAGTTCGTAAGGTATTTATTTGCTTTTTAAATTGCCCACCGTAATTAAAAAATATATATATATATACATAGTGATAATGAACAAAAAAAAATATGCTATTAATAATATTTAAAAATAAATAATTACTTTATAATTAAATATTATCAAAATAGAATAATAAAATATTATGTAAATTCACGTAACGGACACAACCGAAAAATATGATATTAATAATATTTAAAACAAATAATTATTTTTTAATTAAATATTATTGAAATAGGGTAAAATATTTTATAATTCACGTGATAAACATAACTGAAAAATATAATATTAACAATATTTAAAATAAACAGTTAGCTTTTAGTTAAATATTATATTAAAAATTCATAAAAATATGATTTTAATTATACAAAAATTATGATTTTAATTATATCAAAATTTGAAGGTAAGATAGATTTTTATCCGTAGAATTGATATTGCAATTCTATTTAGTGTATTTTTGTGAGATAGCGGCTTAAATTTTATCTATTTTATTATTATTATTATTTTGGCAGAGTATCACTTTTTAACTGAATTTACTAAAATACCCTTTTAATACGTGCTGTTTCTGTCGTTGGAGAAAACCTCCTTGTGGTTTCCAAAACTTCCAACCCAATCCGGGAATGGTTTATTTTGATAATTCCATTAAAAGCAATAACCAACACACACATTCAAAACCCAGAGGCGGAAGAAGAAACAAACCTTACAGACGGAAAAGCCGAAACGAAAACTGTGAATACCGAAGGAGTTTGGAGATGCGTTGTAGCCATGGATTCGTCATACCGGGAACCGACTCTCGCTTCCTCTACCCTCCAATCAACACGCCTGATTCATATCTTCGTTTTCCCCGGGTCCATTACCCGACCCGTATGCCCTTCCGATCTGTCAAAACCACCGCTAACATTAACAACAGGTTCGTCAACGATGAGTTGAGCTTCTACGAGCTTCTCGGCATACCTGAGTCAGGGACTTTGCCTGAGATCAAGCAGGCATACAAGCAGCTTGCCCGCAAGTATCACCCCGATGTGTCGCCTCCGGATCGGGTCGGGGAGTACACCGAGCGCTTCATTCGAGTCCAGGAGGCGTACGAGACTCTCTCGGATCCGAGGAGGAGAGCTCTTTACGATAGGGACATGGCCAGTGGGCTTCACTTAGCGTTTTCCGCTAGGCGACGCCACCGATACGATCAGGTATTTTTTACTTGCTTCCTCGTTGGTTATCTTTATATATACCAAAATTGGGATTGAAGCTGATGTACGTATTTAGTTCTTTTCTAAATTTTTGTTTTTCTTTTTCTGGGAATAAATATTTGGGCCAATCTTGCAAATATCGGTTTCAGTTATTTGTTTGTCTTTCTTTATCTGCCTGAATTTTTTTGAAATATAGGGATTTTTTGCAACTTGAGATTTTAACTGAGTTTGTTCAGTTCCTTTTTTCCCTCTTTACATTAGATCATCTCTTCCTGCAATTTATCGTGTTTTGCGTACACTTTATGTTGACAGCTAAACTGATTGTTCTTAGCCATTTAATGATAGTTTTGCTCTTAATTTTCCTTTTTTGTTTACCCAATGATGCTTGAATTGAATCGTTGGGAGATTGGGTTTTGAAGAATCTCGGATTTTCTTTCAGAAATTTTAATTAATTTCCTAATTGACAGCTATTTTGCCTGTGTCTGCTACCTGAGAAAATAAACAATTTTTAAATACAACTTGTCGTGTCTTTCGTTTAACTCATTCAAAGATCATCTTTCTTGTCCGAATGTCCCACCTTGCTCATCTCTGTATTGTCCCCTAGCAATTTATTTTAATCTATGGTTTCTGGTACTGTGTATTGGTAACACTTTGTTGTTGGACTTAGAACTATGATTCTAGTTCTAACTGATTGATTTACGGTTGTTCCTGTATGTTATAGTTGGTGATGTCAATGAACTTTATCTTGGCCTTTTTGTTAAATCTTGAGTGAGATTTTCATTGTTTCTTATGTGTGATTGCTGGGTATGGGATTAATTTCTGCTACTGTCTCATGATTCTTGAATACCACTGACTGTTTGTCTGGTTAGGTTCAACCTTTTGATTAATCTTTTTATCACTTCTACTAGTGGAAAATTTAGTCAATTCAACCGCGTTTAAAAGTTTCTAGTGTGATTAGAATGAATTTCCATTTGTCCCTTTACTTGTGCAAACCTCAACATCTTGATATGTACGCAGTTGTGTTCCTATTTGACATCTTAGAGTTGTATATGACTTCTCCTAGCATTCTAGAAAATGACTTGTAACTTCCAAGTGTGCCTGGTGTGAATTGTCTTGTTCAGCCAACTATGTTATTTTTGTGTCTGGCTGTCTTATTTTTCACGATGCAATCTTTTACAAGGACATACATGCACACGAGAAATAGAATTTAAGATTAAACATACTCTTAAGTCCTCTCAAGGTCGTAAACTTCCTTCCTCTAGGGTTGTGCCCTTGCCATTGTTTCTGTTTGATGTCTTGGAAAGCTGTTAATTTGATATCAGGTTCACTGGTATCCATTCCATAATGGTGTACTCATTTGGGATTCTTTCTGTAATCAGGAAATCGAGGACAGGACAGAGTGGAAGAATTGCTGGCAGGTGCAGCTATCTGAGCTGAAGAGAAGAAGCATGAACAAGGATGCAAGAGGAAACATGTCGTGGGCTGCTAGAATGCGCAGCCAGCGGGAGGAAATGTCTGATGAGACATAGACTCTGCATTCGTTCTCTCATATGTATGTAGATATATACATATATATATATATATATATACATATGCTCCTACCTGATGATGGGGTTTTTGCGTTGCGGTGTTGCATACTCATCTTGCTGCTCCATACATGCTTTGCTGCTCTATACATGATTTTGAATGAGGAATGTGCTTGGGGAAGTAGCATGGTTGCTTGATTGGTAGAGCAGAGGAGCTGTTTGAGAAGGGTAATTAAAGGGTTATCTAAAATAGGAAGTTGTATAGTTTACCAGTCCATATTGTAAATAACTTTCATAAGTAAGATCCTTTCTTTTGGTAATACCAACTTCGGTACTCTGTTTTTTGTGCGTGTGTGTGTGTGTGTGTGTGTGTGTATATGTATGTATATGTTTGTACGTGTTTAAAAATTATGCTCACGTGGAAAAGTCTTTCATTATGGAGGAGATAAACTGAAGGCCTTCATTTTTCCACTCAAAGCATCAAATTTTTGTTCTAAATCGGCGTAAGTGTAATTAAAAATTATTATGTTCAATTATGATTTGACTAGATAACTATAATTTATTAGAAGAATCTAAATTATATTTGTGTCTAAATCAATAATATAATAAATTTAATAGATAAAAGTGTAACAATGATGGTGGTTAATGTTTTTCATATTCTTTTACAAGAGAAAATACATTTATAGTTGTATTGTCATAATCACGAGAATGAACTTTGAATTTAAGGAGAGCGTGGAAGAAGGTAGAAGTTATAAATATAGGAGACAAATGTAAGAAGTTGGATGTGGGGATTTCCTAACCTATTCTATACAGCAGGCAGATATTGACTTCTTTAATGTGTCTATGTGTAAACACACACACACACACACACGTAAAGACATACATATACACACATATTTTGTTCTTTATCTTATTTACATAATTGTATAATCTTCTCGTGATTATTTGTTGCAAGCTTGCCGTTAATTCAGTTGACAAAAATGATTTCTTTTTTTTTTTTAAGAAAAAAGAAAAAACTTGTTATGAGACTGAGAGACATGATATGAGAACTAACTCAAAGAAAAATCATATTAATTATAAAGAAATTTAACGATTAAGCATAACAAAAATATGTTAAGTAAGAAAACTATATTCTCTCTAAAAATGAGAATATTCAAATTTCTCTTATTACCTTTAAATGAATGGCTAATAATTCATTATGGGTTCGACACTATATATTCTTTATCAATAATTAAAAAAATTATTTAAAATATAATTATGTACCTTTAATTAAAATTATGGTCTTGTGGAGGAAAGATTAAGAACATGTATAAATAAATATAGACATGTAACGTGGATCAATCAATTCTTATTAACGAACATTGTAATAAAAAAAGTTACATAATTAAAAATATTATCCATATCTTAGCAAATTAAATAAATGAGATACACTTTTTTGGACCCATACCTTCCTTATTCCTTCATAAGACAAGTTACAAGTTACAATATAGAGAGATAGTCATTACATAAACCCATCTACTATTAACAGAACACTCACTCACTATTCAACAAAACACCTCTATTTGTCAACTCATTTTTAAGGCTTGACATTTGATCTTTGAGCATAGTTACAGTTACAAACATGCCTCTTGAAGAATCTTCTTCTACGGGAAGTACCAATACTACTCCTCCATCTCCGACACCTTCGACATTGTAGTACACAAGCTTCGGCGATTGCTCGTTCAATTTCAACCCGTAGACGTTTGCGTTCTCCAAATTCACCAAAGTTAAATTTGCCCCGTAAATTATAAAATCTGATGTTTCAATATCTGCTTCAACCACTGATTTAATTCCATCTCTCTCGTCTGTGGCTTCATTCAGTAACGACTCTGCTAGGTTTTTCAAATGTGCAGTCGGAATCGAGAAATCAACTTCAATTGCACTGATGATTTGGTTATTACCCAAAATAGAGGTTTTCGGGTCAAAAGGAAGAGTTTTGAACAAGGTCACTTTTCTGGGTTGGGATTCTTGTGAAGAAATATTGGCGATGGATTGCCAAATAATTGCACAGACTGACTCGAACTCTGGGATTTTACTGTCGCGGCATACCTGTGATTGTAAACGGGAGAGGTGGGAGGGCGACAGGTGGAATGAAAATTTACCCATTTTGGAGTTACCGGGTAATTCCCAAATATCTCCAACCGGGTCAACCCGTTTAAGAGAAATTGGTTGTTTGTCAACGGGTGGTGGGTTTTCGGATCTTTGGAGCTTCTTGATTGGTGGTAGTGAAACAGGAGTTGGTGGTGGGTTTCCGGCTCGGAGTCCGGCCAAAACGGAGCCCCATTTGTTGAGGAAATATGCAGAGGCAGATTGATCTCCCAAGACGTGTATCCAATTTAGACCCACCGCTGCACCTCCGCATTTGAATCGGGTCAGCTGCAGAAAAAGCCTTCATTTCATAACATATACATTCTACCATTGAAGATATTTTTTTTTTAGAAAAACACAAGAGGGAAAATTATACATTCAATTTCTAATATTCTTATTCTTTTGGGTAATCTGCAATCAATGTAGAAACAAATTTTATCACTGTTTTATTGCTTTTCGCAATAATATATATATATATATATTTTTAATTATCGAAATTTTAAAAATAAACTACATAATAATTTGGGTTATATACATGAAATAAATTTAAGAAACTAATTTAATTTGTATTTTTATTTTTTCGCATATTAAGTAAAATGATATTATGATTATATTCTAGTTTTTAATAAATTATAATATAAATTAGTCCTTCCACTCTAGAAAAATGCAAAAACTAAAAAATGGTCGAGGACTGCGTAATGGAAGTCGATATTCGTGGCCATGCATGCAGTTACCTGTGTGTGTGTGTGTATAGATTTATAAAACAATACCTAATATTTAAAAAGCAGTAAGCACTGGGGGGATTAATAATATAACCTGCATGTGAACGAGTGGAGAGAAGGAGATTTCTGGACCGATGGGTCGATAGTAAACCAGATGATCATGAAGCTCAGCCTGATCTTTCATGGCTAGCCACTCCTCCACCGTCTTCTCACAGTCAGCCTCCACGAACCTCACCCCGCAGTCATTACACTTTATATAAGGCCGGCCGGACTCCGACAGCCGGAACCGGCCACAGATGACATAAAAGTCATTGAGCAGGTAGAACAAGGACTCCTTAACCCGCATAATTGTCAGACCCTCACCTGCTTCCTTGTCGAATATGTAAACACTTTTTATGTAGTGAAGCTTCATGGCCAAGTCCACGCCGTCCGCCTCCTGCACAACGTCCGGCGCCGTCACCGTGCTCGTACCCACAGAGGAGAGCCTTATGTTGGAGATCAACCCGGTTTCTTCTGTTGTTGAAGACACCATTTTCGAGAATGAAGTTGCAGAGAGATGGAGATGGAGATGGAGATGGAGAGGAGATGGTAAAAGAAGGGTTAATATAAATGGTGGGAGAAGAGAGAGAGAGGGGCAGTTGGGGCTTTTAAAGGGTAATGATTGTGTGCAACGTCGTTATTGGTTGGCATTAAATTAATTACCTTTTTTTTTCATATAAATTTTTAATTTTATAATTACTATTTACATTTTATTTTAAATATTCATACACACACACACACATATATATATATATATATATATGCATGTATGTATTAGCATTGTCGGTCATAAAAACTTGGAATTGAATGTAATTTATAATTAACTAAAAGAACATCCCAGTTTGGGCAAATTACCAAACAATAATTCCAGGTATTTAAATTAATTAAGCATTGTTTTGTGGAATTATAATTAATACATACTAAATGTGTATGTTAATTCAATTTGTAAAGGAAGCATCACCATTTGGTAAGTGAAATCAAAATACATACAATTACACTTTTCATATATTATACATATTGTTTTTTTAATTACTTGTGTAGGATATACACCCAGTTGACAATATTTTCTTTTTTTTTTTAAAAAAAGTTAAAATATTTTTATTAATTTCATTAAGATTAATATTTAATTAATCATAATAATTTTTATTATTCCATACCAAAATATTTGTAGTTTTTTTTAAAAAAAAAAAAAAAAAAATCATGAATTGAAGATTAATGAAAAAATTAAACTTGGACTGTAATTCAAGAATAAAATAATAATTTGTTGAAATTATATATATACACGAGAATGTAAGAGCATGAATTTTGTGGATGGGGAAATGGTAGCTTGCAATAAATAAGAAACTCAAATGTCTTGAAGAATATTATTGGGTGGGGGTGATTCATTACTCCTGCAATTTAATCTGGACTTACCCTATCAAACAAATGAATTTAAGTTAATTTCTAAATAAATTTTTAAATAAGAATATAATCCCACCATAACTTATAATCAAATATATATTAACTTGTGATATAAAACATTGCAATGGTTAAAAAAAAAAAAAAAAATCTTGGTGGGTGATTTTAATTAAGTCTGTAGAAACATGTGGAAGGAGATGGTCTCTTAGTTATATGTTACATGGAGGAGTTGTTTTCACTTAATTAATGCCATGAGCAAATTACACTTACACAATATCTATACATACATATATATATATATATATATATGTAAGCCTTGATTTCTTGTTTTGCAAGTCAACTAATTTAATAGACAATTAATTTTGACAGCTATTGAAAACTATTATCTACTTAGCATTGTGGAAAACTTGTAACACAATCAACCGTGACATGCCAATTAATTTGCTTGTCTTTGTCTTCAATGTCAAGTTTATTAAATTTTAAATAAAGTGTATGTTAAAAAAATAATAATAATGATAAAATAATACAACTTTAGTATATATTCAATTTGGCTTAAGAAATTAAAATAAACTTGTAACTTGGATATGTAAATATATACTTTTAAACTTTTAGACCATTACACAATTTTAGTTATATGATTTAAATTACAAAGTGTTAAGACTGATAATGATCTAATACGTCAATCAGAGAACATGTGTTAACTATTAAGAGATGTATCAAAGCAGTCATTAAGTATCTAGTCGATCGAAAGATATTGAGTTAAGATATTTTCAGTCTAGTAATCAGAACTTTTACGATCTCGTGAACAAGTCATCCAAAATTTATTGTCCCCTTAAATTACTAGTTAACTATTAAGAGAAAACTCAACTCTTCATTATTTAAACTTTCGTGTATTAATCTTTCAAGTACGAAAAATGAAATATTACTTAACCGATAAATTTATAAACTCGATAAAGGTATTCTAAGTATGAAAGTTCTATTCTCCTAATAACTCTTTTTTTTTTTTTAAAACTTATTTCATGAAAACACAACGGATTAATACTTTTTTTGATTTCAAATCTATATGAAACTACAATCAATCGTTTTTCCGATAAGATTATAATTCTAATATTTCTATCGATATCAATAAGATATAATAATAATAAATCTTTACAAGATAAGATTAGGAGTTAAATTTTAGTCAACTTGATGGTATTTTATGGTAGAAAGTGTTTTTAGCCGCCTAACTTTTTTATGTTCTAATAAGCTACTAAGTGTTTAATAAAAAGCTAAAAATAATTTATTTTTATGAAATTTTTTTTAAAATTATACGCAATTAATTTAAATATGATATGATGAAAAATTTATTAGAGTACAAGAAATAATTATCATAAAAAATTAAATGGAAAATAATATGTATTATATAATTTACTAAATTTAATGGGACCTAAATATATTATTTAATTTCACGCAAAATTCTCTTAAATGTTACACTATAGTTTTTGTTGTATAATTAATTATTGGAATTTAAGCATTACTCACATCCCATATAAAAAATTCTACCATGTACATGTATATATATATTCAGAATTCTACGATATTAATAATAATAAAGATAAAATATGAGAAGAATAGTTTTCAAAAAATTCTCATTTTTGATTATCTGGGTGGTACTATTGGTTCTATATATATATATATATATTATATGAAAATTTTATGTATACAACATATATATATATATATGCGTATATATATATATATATATATATATATAACGGAATCATTCCACTTCTCCTGGTTTCTTTAACTTTTTCTTTTCAAGATGATCTACGAACGGTGAAAACTAGGTAGCTCCAGATTTAGAATCAAATGGCAGCCAGAAACTTTGTTCTTCCAAAGGTGGCGGATTTCTCCGCCAACAGGTTTGGAAATGACCATCCTGTCAGCTTCATCCCCTATCATTAAATCTTCTACGTTCCAGAATACGGTTGATTAGGCCAAGTCAATGCTGCTAATACTCCAATACACACACACACATGGCTAAAGTCAATTGCAAATATTTTTTAAAGTATAAATCTTGTGTGCATTAGCTGTAAGCAGCTTCTTTCATGATTCCTAACGAACTTGACTTTGCTTGGCGGTGGGTGCAAGTAACTTGCTCATCAAGACACCAAATTGAAGTTTTCTTGTGAGGGCTTCAATCTTTATATAATCATACTATTCCAACATTTTCTACTCACCTTCTTCAACTCATCTTCTTTTGATAGGAGGTGAGTTATATTGAATACTTCTGTGGGCAGCTTTTCATAATTGAGCACTTCTTTTCTTCTTTTTCCAATCCTCATTTTATTGATTAATTATTTAATTTTCAAAGAATTTTTGTAACTTCTAAATCCCCATCCAAGAAGCTGTGAAACAGATAAAGGATGCATCAAGAGCTACAGAAAATCACAGAGCAAATAGAGGAAAGAAGAGTATGTTTTCTATTTTTTGCAATAAATTAAAATGTGTTTTTGTTTAGCAAATATATTGTTTGTTTATTTGAAAAAAAAAAAAAAAAAACAAATGGGTGTTGTGAGCAGTTGGATCGAGATTCGCTTGTTGCAAGCCTCAAGTTTCTGAGATATAATGAAAGAGAATTCAAAAGATCTGCAGCATCAAATGGGAATAAACTTGCTTCTCTCAAACAAGAATTAGACAAGCTGAGTTTTGCCAACAATGCTTATCAAGACAGATCTATAATTTCATATCCATCCGAGCAAAAGATTAATGTTCATGTAAGAATATATAAATATAACAGAAGGGTAAACTTGTTTTCCGGGTTTAAATTATCCTCTGCAATCAATTTATTTTGTATATTATTTATTTATCTTTTCGGTCTTAAAGACAGTTGAAACTGGTGCTTTCAGAATCTGAATTTCTTGATGAGACATGGCCGAGCCAGCAGCTCTATTGAGGAAAAGCAGCTATTGAAAGAAATCAATGAGAAGAACAGGCGAGGAACCGGTTCTTCATGTTTGCCAATGGAGGAGCTCAATGCCAATGTAAGAGTAGATGATGAATGCTGACTTTGATCTAGTATGGATCAGCTTTAACCTTTTTGTATTAAGTTTATTGGATATTCTGTGTGTGAAATTTCAAATCAGATTCGGTTCTTGAGCCATCGGACACACCCTTATCATGGACGCAAGCTACATGAGATACAAGAAATCCAAAGAGAGATGACAAAGATTCAATGGTCATGGGAAAAAGCATTTGCCAATGTCCCAGTGAAGGGAAAAACTTGGAATACTTTACCTTCAAAACAAGCTATAAAGGATCAAATTAAGGTAACTCCTTTCTCCTACTTTGCTTAATTTCAGATCATAGACTTCACCACCAATTGGATGGTAAATGCATTTTTCGACTGATAATGAAGTGGAGTCAAGTGATACATTACCAATACCAGAAAGTCCTATAATCATTGTTCACTAGTTCAATTAAATTTAAGTATCTCCTATCTGTCTATCGCACCCACAACGACTGAAACGAATCTATTCAGGCACACAATCATTGTTAAATTTATTGACGTTTCATAGACTTGATATTTCTTCTTTCCTCTTTTTTTCCTGGATTAATTGTGTGTAGGTGGTAGAAAATGAATCAGATAAATTAAGGAAAGAACACTTGGAAATCAGAGCAAAGACCAAGCTAGTAGGCACAAAACTGAAAGCAGTAGAAAAGGATATAACCTTTTTAAGGAAGCGTGTGCAGAAAACAAAGCATGAGCTGCAGCCATCCATTTGTAAACATTGAAATTTACATGACATCATATGATGGATCCAATTAAAATACTGTACAGCCCGTGGAAATGACAAAATTTGACCAACAAAAGAGTTTCAATTAATGGTCAGATATATCTTGTATTATGTCTTCTCTGCACTCATCTCTTTCTCCTTTCTGAACATGCACATCTTCTTAAATAACTTCATAAAGGTAAGCATAAGTCAATTAATGAGCTTCTCTTCGGCTCTTATTTTTTTAACGACTCTTTCGCTCGTTAAGGTTGAAGCATGTTAGACGAACCAATGTTCTCAACTTGAATGAAGGAACGTAAAACTTACAATCATAGTTAAAAAAACTCTCACTTTTTTGCACCAGCTTCAGATATTCACATAATCAACCCACCTTTCTTCCGGTTCTAATCATCTAATCTCCTAGTTTTGCATACACGACATTCTTTCAGCAATATAGTAATCTGACCTATTGCCAATCTATACAGTAAAAGAACTACGATATTTTATTCTTTTTAATGCTAAGCAACACATTACATGACAGTCTAAACGAGTATCAAATGCAATCTTATTATAAAGTATCAGGGGAACCCCTGCTTCTCAATTCCAGTGTTGTGCTCAAGGTACCAAAATGACCAGAGAGAGAAAAATAAATCAAGTATGCCCTACTAGTGAAACATAAATTTCAATAGGTGGCCAGCTGCCATCCGAGTGTTTCACCGGCAAACATCGGAATAATATCTCCAAATGAAAATGAGAAAGCCTCTGGTACCTTCCATGGACTCCTTTTCAACTTAATTTTTATTGTGTTCCTAGGAAGCCCGTAGAAATCCGGTCCATTGAAGCTTGTGAATGCCTCAAGTTTGTCAAGTGCACCAGCCTAAATATATAATGAGTTGTCAAGATAGATAATATAAAGTCTTTCATTTTTGAGCGAGATATAATGTTTTTTATTATAAAGTCAACTATGAAGACATGATTATTCCTCAGGAATGTGGCATAATAAACAAACACCATATAGCTTTTCAAGTCTTCGATAGATCACAACAGAAGAAAGCCATAATAGTCTATAGAAAGATAGGTCTTCTTTAGTTTGAGAAAATTATGTTTTCTCTATTTTAAGGAATTGGAAAATCCAGTCTAAATAGATAGGATTGGAAAATAGTTTTATTCATAAAACTAGAAATGTCATTTTATTTGTTTTAAGAAAAGATTTTTTTTTTCCAAAAACACGAAGGTTACAACAGCTAGACAGCCTAATTGCTCTTGAAAGTTTTTGATTAATCACAAACAACCCACAACATAGAGTAGTCTATAAAAAACAAGGTTCGGGTAAAAAAAAATTATCTTTAAATTATGAAACGGCATTGGTGCATAGTAAAGAAAGTTACATATTTGCATAAATCTAGCGAGTTAATTTATTAGCATTACATCCATTATGGTGTATTCCAGTTCAGCTAACTAACATTGAAACAAGCTTAAACTAATTGTGATGCAGAATGGGCTAGTAAATAAATAAGACATTGTAATCATATTAGATGTAAAACAATTATAATATTTAAAAGTCTATTATTATATTATCTAGAAGTATTTATTGTAGTTGTAGTAATTTAGAATTTCTATTCTTATTAGTATTCTTAATATTATTAGTATTAATTTATTATTTTTATTAAGATTAGGATTACCAATTCTGCTAGTTTACTATTCTTAGCTTAGTTTTGGTTAGAAAAAATTATTTAAAAATAGTTTAAAATTTTACTTATTGATCATTCAGTTATCAACTATATTTTTGATAATTTCTCATTTTTCTATTTGTGATGCAATCAAATCTTAAATATGATGCTTAAAATTTCTTAGATGCGATTTCTAAGAAACCCTAGGTGTGATGTCTAGATTTTTATCTCCAAATCCCTAATTGGACAAATCGACCAATTTGTCCTCCAACAAATTGAAATGGAAATTTTGCAAGTTGTACAATTGTCTTTAAAGCTCAAAGTACCACCATTTTTTCCATGTTTTAAGCAAAAGTGTAAACTTCACAAGTTTACGAGAGAGAGATGAGTTGGTCCCGTCCCTTCTTTATGCACATCCATATACATAGTCAGACACAAAGGTGTACAATCCGGTAAAAATCTGCAGTTCTTTAAGTTCATTCACTGTAGGTTCTCTTACTTGCTCTAGTGGCTGGCAAATGCCAACCGAGAAGGGAGAATGAATGGCTCAGGAATCGACTGGTTCCGAGCGGACTCATGGAGCTGCTGCTTGGATTATCGTATCATAAGAGGATCTGTCTTTGGAAATGACTTAACTTTTGGCATGTCAATGATATAAATCCGATTCATTTTGTCATCAATTCTCCTTCTATCAGCGCTCAATATAGAACAAGAGTTATTTCTATTTCCCTATAGATATACCTCATAATCACTCAAGTTTGAGAATCATACAGGCTTAGATCTAGGCATTGACAACTGTATGGAACACTAAAATTTATTTCAGTACTGTAAGATGGGTGGGATTGAGGGAAATCTCAAACTCACATTTCCAGCCTCTCCACCACAAAATAAGCAAAACCTGCTAGTCTGATGGGAATTATGATACCTTATAGTTTCTTACAGCATATTCTACTTCGTAATGAGAAGGACTAATGAAGGATTACTTTGGCTTTCCAATTTTTTTATCATGTCAATCAATAAAATGAAATAATTAAAAGAAAAATTCAACAAACAGAGTTAGACTTTATGTTTTGATAATAAACTTCTAGCAAACATAGCAGGTGTTGAAAAGATTTACCTCTTCAAAGACCTTGGCATATAGTGACAGCGCAACAGGGGCATTGTAAATACCAGCACATCCACATGGACACTCTTTTTTCCGTTTCTCATGGGGAGCACTATCAGTTCCAAGGAAAAATTTCTTACTTCCACTGGTTACAGCTGAAACAATTGCCTGTCCTAGATGAAAGGAAAGATTAGGAATTAAAAAAAATGATGATTTCATAAAGGGAAATTTCTTTGTAGAACTCATACTGTTTAAAAAATGCCATTGGAATCGTACTAGGCATGCTGGGCATCAATACCAACTTTTCAACTTAAAAAGAACAATACAGACACAGTTGATGATATGGTATTACTACTTGGTGTTAAATTTTCAATATTGCACAATCGAAGGAGATGATTGTTGAGGAAGCTTACCGGGCTGTTAATGATAAAATTGTATGGTCTATCAATGTCATTCGAAATTTGAAT